TTGTTACACTGCCTACTTAGCATTCTTGTGTGTTGGATTCTTCTTTCTTCAAAGTTCAGTAGAGCTTTAGGAGAAGTTACTCCTCTTGATTCTAGTGCATTAAGCGTTAAATATATTTGTGAGGTGTCAGTGGAGAACTTCATGACACTGTATTAAACTATAAATACAGTATTTACACCTCAGGAAATCTTGGAACTACATAGTTTTTGTGACTGGGAAGATGAGCTTCACATTCTCATTCAGTTTCTATAAAGGTGTCCTCTGTTTGGGGACTATTGGAGATAGGTTATTGGGTGGGAAGGATTTTGCTCACACATAGTAAGGCTTCTGTTCTTACCCCCACCACTCCCTTTTAACATTCTAGAATTTTATAGCTAAAAGAAACTTTCTGTTTTTGAATCTGCCCATCCAAAATAGTAGTTTATATCCTGGTATTGTAAACACATTTCTAACAAAGTTCTCTCTCCTGCTCCCCTCTTTCTGTTTTTTCTCCTCTCCCCGCCTCCCTTCTTTTTTTTTTAAATTTTTTTCTTTTTGTCTTTTTTATTAGAACATCAGCTTTTAGAACTGGAGCGGCATCTAGCACAGACAGAGAAAATGTTAAATTCTTTATTGACTCAGTTGGATCCACTTTCAAACTGGTGAGTGTTTCTGAAACTTCTCAGTTAGTGTTGCTTACTGTAAATTGAAATTTGCCAAAATGTTAACAAAGTTCTCAAAATGATCCATATCTATATATGGTAAGGAACAGTTTTTAGGAACCTTCTTTAATTAACTACTGCTTCTGTAGCCTTTTGCAGTTAATACCTCTTCTGCAGTTTGCGATCTTTTCTCCAGACACCTCCTATCTCTTGTTCACAATGATGCAGAAGTTCAGACTTCCAATTGTGTTACTGTGGCTTAATGAGTTAAACTTTAATATTGACCAAGGAGACTAATACTGAAAATATACTTAACCTCAGTAGCATTTGAAAGTCATTATGAGAATTACATTTCTGGTAGCAGAATGAGCAGAATGATGCAAGTAGAAGAAAAAAAGTAGTTATCAAGGTATAGCTTCTTATTTTTGTGTTTTGAAATGAACCTGTAAAGTGTTTGTGTATTTCAGTGAAATATAACTTCTCTGTTGTAGTGTGACAAGGGAATCAGTACTATATACTCCTTGTAGTTTTAGAGAAGTTCCTTTCTTAAGAAACTAGAGTCTTACTCATCTACTAGAAATAAAAATATGCATGCAATCCATTTTACGGACTGACATCCTTCATGAAACCCAGCTTAAAACATGCAGAATTTCATGATTGTTCCTTTAGTGTACTTCCAAACTTAATATGTGCTGAAAATGTTAAGCAGCAAATCAACTGACCAATTTGCCTAACAAATTTCTAGTAGTGATGGCCAGGAGAGTAAAGAAAGTCTGAATTAAATAAGAAGAGCCTCTAAACTGAAAAGTTCTGTATTAGGCATTGTTGTACTAAAATTAAAATTACTTTGGTTAATTGTTTCTTTCAGTAATCTTTACTCAACCTTGGCCATTGGGGCTCCAGTGTTAGAATTGAGGGACTAGATTATTCAGTGGGTGTATGTGATGGGCTCCCCACTTCTCAAGAAACAGTTCTTCAAAGAAAGCTTGACCTAAACATGCCACAAAGTTAACTAGGGTATTTATCCATGGAAGGAAGTATTTCAATCTTGTGCATTTTTATCAAGCACTCACTTCCAAGATAATCTTTCAGCTGTTAACATTTGTATTTTTTTCTAGTGTTAATGCTTTAGCATGTGAACAGAAAGATGAAATAATGACACAGCTCCAATCAATTAGACGACTGATGAAAGAAAGTGGATTGGATAAATCAGAAGACAAGATGAAAGGTACTTTGATTTTCAGATGGGTAGATAACTTAAGTATTTTGTATTCTAAAAGACTAAATAGATCTTACTATAATACTGTTCAGCTCCTGCACCTTAGGTGATTTGTGTGGAATTAGTTATTATTCTGGAGGAGTACCATTCTTCCTGTTTGAGGTAAATCCAATTTCAAATTTTTGATACATTATGATTTTCTTAAGAATCGGTGCTAAAAGACATTGAACTGGGATGGACCATACAGTCACATTCTCCTCTGTTAAAACAGGCTTTTTGAATGTCAGTTCCTAAGCAGTCTGTTAGTATTGGACTAACTTTAGTGTAAGGATTCCCAAATGGGGACCTCTGAGGCTGTGGGTAATGCTTGCATAGAACACTAAACAGCAAATTGTATATTAGTTTCAACTGAAGACTTCCAAGAGCTGCATAGTAACCCAAGTGAAAAAATGTTAAGAATGGTTCACTAGAAATTTGGGCAATTTTTGCATTATTTGAGTCTTAATAAAAGAGAAAAAAACAAATAGAAAAAATATTCTACTTCTAAACTGACCCTGAAATTTAGAGCCATTTAAGTAAAGATTAATTTTGATTATTTTTTGTGTATTCTAAGATCTTGGCCACATTTGTAATGAGAAACTTGAAGATCTCATTCAGTCATTTGCTGAACATTCTCAAGAGAAAGAAATGGACAACGGAGAAGATGATTGTTATAAAGATTTGCTTGAGGATTATAATAATGATTACAAAATAGAAGAGCATGAATTACATGATGAATGTGAAATACATCAGTTGGAGCCAGATGTCGTAGAAGACCAAGAAATGATAAGCAAAGATGCTGTTGAATCAGAAGAGATGGGACTGAGGAGACGCAATAGATATGAATGGAATCTGCACATGTAAAACTTTAAAAAGCTTTTGCTTTATTTTATAACGTTATATGCACTTTAAACTGTTTTAAATCAACTTACATGCACTGCTACATGCTTTAAAAAGAGCGGTGAAGTACTGCCTGTGCTCATATCTATTACAATTCTGTAACTGACTTCAGTGGCAGCAGAATTTTACTCAGGATGTTTACATACTTTTTTCTATTTATTTTTCCCTATCAGAATATTTCTGTAATCTGTATATAATGCACTGTAATTACATCTGATGGTTCAGTGAAATATTAGAACGTCTTTTAATTGAGACTATAGAGATGTTTCATAAATGTTTTATAACTAGTAAGCATGATGCCACTTGAACTGTGACTTTCTTGAGTTCATTAAAGAGCATGCACTGATGAATTTAGCTCTTTGTGGAAAACATTTCTTTGGGATGGTACAGAAAGTATGGGTTAAGTCTTTGAGATCAATTCATAGTTAAGCTTATTTGGAGAGAGAAATTTAGCTATGGACACTATGTGAAAATAATTATGTCTGAGTTTGCAGTCTCCTCAGTAATTATGTGTAGTTTTGTATGTCAATTTAAACCCTAATGAATTACACTGGATCACTTAATTTCTTCCGTACCTGTCACTGGTTAAACTCAGCAGCTGTCTAATAACTGATTAACCCATTAGTACTACATCACTGTTTCACGCTTATTTTAACACAATAGAATATTGCCTTTTGATTCGTTACAGTACAATTTTTCTTACATCAGAATTAACAGATGTATGGCTATGTATCATTCAAGAACTGTGGGTTTGGGGGTTTCCTTTTTCAGTATATTACGACAACTAGAGCACGGCCTTTTTAGGTCCGTGGTAAGAAAAACATTTGCTTTCCTTTGCCAGAATCATCTTTATCCATACCTTCATTTTTTACTGTTTTTTTGTTCACTTAACACACAAGCCTATGGTACTGCCAGCCTTTAATGACAGGCATTGCCTTAGAGGTACGTTTGACAGTACAAAGCTATTAAATTTTCTGTGTTATAATTGCATAGCTTTTAAGTAGGCCAGTTATAATGCCTGAACTCTTTTGCCATCCTTATTCTTACAGGAAGATAGCATGTGGATTTGTTTTTCTGGAGGAAATGTACTGTACTTAAAGGGAGTAAATCCATTACTGTGTCACTCAGTGGAATGGAATGAATTGTTCATTCTGGTGTATAAACATGGTATGTCTTTGGTTCTAAAACTGGATCACACAGGCTTGGAAGTAGCAGCACTAGAAATACATCATTAACATCCGTGTGCTAGTAGTTTTGTGGTGAGATTTTGCCTAACTTTGGAAAACTGATTGAGTACAAAGCCAGGGTTTCTTAAGAGGGGACAGATTCTTCCCCAACACAGAGCGGATGAATCAGTAGTAGTACTTGGACACAACTGAATTTTTAAAAACACCTGATACTGGTCTGGTCATTCAGGACAACTGGAACTGTTTGAAAAAGTCATTGTTGCATACCAGCTTTTCTCTGAGATGCCTAATAAAGTGAACTGAAATTAATTTCAAAGCCATTGATCGAGGGGAATGAGGGAATGGGAGCCAGGCTTGCTGCGCTGCCGAAGTGTTTGCAGGATGCAGGTCAATGCTGCTGCCTTCCAGGCGCTGTGCCGGTGTCCTTTCCCGCAGGGGTTCCCCGCCCGCGGCAGTGACCGAATCGTCGCTGTCGTGGCTTTCACCTCCCCTATTCTCGGGATGCTGCTGATGCTTGGAGCCCTTATCCGAAAAGGTTTGGGCTACTTTGGGGTCATCGCTGTATTTCGGACCCAGGGCTACAAACATGCACCGGGAGCCCTTTCGCTGCAATTTTGAAGTCTCCGCTTCGGCTGCCGGGGTTTGTGAAAGGCGAGACTCCGTGCGGTGTGTAAGCGCCCGGCTTTTCCGGCGGGGCTGCGGGGGCCGCCGGGGCAGTGCGGGCAGGGAGGGCCGGGCACGCAGCCGTGTCCCGGGCAGCGTGTTTCCGCAGGAGCAGTGGGGAATCCCGCTTCCCCATTCCGACGATGTGCCCCCGAAGCGTGGCAGGGATTGCCCCCGCCCCCGGCGGCAGGTGGGGCGCGGGCACCCTGGAGACGCGCGGGGGCCGGGCCCGCTCGGCCGGCCGTGCGCGGTGGGACCGCTCCGGGGAGACGCAGCCCGGCGGGAGCCCCGCGCCTCTCCTGGGAAAGCGCATCGTTTCCGTGGAGCCGCCGAGCCCATGGTGTTTATTTCGCCTCTTAGAGCGGTCTTGTTTGTGATAAAAGTTACTTCAGCGTGTGAACCATTAGGTACAACTCTCCCCTCTGTGCCTTCAGGAGGGAGGATGTTCCCTTTCAGGGGAGCCTGCGGGCCGTGCGAGGGCGTCCCGGGGGGGAGAGCGGCCGTGCCCACCCGAGCAGGCCTTGCGGCCGTGCCGCCGCTCCCTAAAGGAGCGGGCGCTTGGGGATTGAAACACTTTATGTAGTTAGAAATGCGGTCATCTGCTGTGGGAGGTGGTTTGGCAAAGGAGCGTCCGATTGCTGGGAACTAAATGGTGGGCTTCAGGTTCAAAAGGGGCTGGGTGGAAGGAGAAGCCCGGAGAGCAGGAGATGGTACGAAGATGAAGTGTCACTCTGCAGCTCTCGGAGGCTGGCTGTGTGTCGGGAGTGCCCTTGCGTCTTCATGAAATCACCTGTTCACGGAGCGTGGCGAGGAGGAGAGCCAGCAGCTGTAAGTGAAGAGTACAAAAGGTTTGATGTTTCGAAGGGGTAGCAAATCAGTAATGCTCGTATGAGAGGGTATCAAGAAGTTGTAAGGGAAAGAGGGAGTTAAGATTGAGACAAAGACGTAAATTTGAACAGGAATCTTGTTAAGCATTAGTAAGAAAAGACTGAAATTAAGAAGTGGTGAAGAAGGGAAGCCAGCAACATTTCATAGCTTGCTGACAATACCCAAATTCTTGCTAATGCAATAACATAGTTTTTTTCCAGAAGTACTTATATGAAAAAATATGCTTTTCTCAGTAGATTTTCTGTTTTTCAGTTTGTTCTGAAAGCTGTCATTGAACTTGCATGGATTTGGAAGTGAAAGGAATTGCTGCTTCCCTTCGAAGGCAGGCTGAGCTGTCGTGGAGGGGAAAGAAATGTCAGGTATGCTAATGCAAGGCTTGTGGTTGTTTTCTGTCCTTGCTTTGAGATTTTTAACAAATATTTTAGTCATACTTCAGAAGATTATTAGTTTGAGGTTATAATCCATTCTGTAGAGAAGAAAACTTTTAAAGAAATTTTTGTCAGAAAGGGATAGTTTAATATGGCAACTTCTCAAATGAAGGTGAGAAATTCCGATAAGAACAGTTGTCCTAAAATAACTGATACTTTAAGTAGTTAATTGGGATGTAGAGATTTTAAGAATGAACTTGCAATTAAGAGCAATAGAGGCTTGAACCCATACTGTGTGCTGTCTCAGGCTGTTGGTGAAATTGGTAACAGGTGTATCTGCTTTTGTTTTGCAAGACAGCAGGAAAGTAAAGCAACCCCAAAACCATAATTTGAAAAGGCATGGTTTCAGACTGACAAGTAAAATGAATCAGTGCTCTGCATTCAGAATGAAGGGGCATTTTGTTTTCTGGGTGTTCCTAATATGCTTTGAGGTAAGGCAGGTGTGCAACCTCTGCAAGATCCCTATAGCAGAAACTTTCAGGTTAACTTTTGAAAGTCAGTCCTAATAGGATCTTGGATTCTGAGGGCCATTGCTTTTCTTATAGCTAAGGTAAATATTAATATTGTTATTAACAGTTGATTTTTCTCACTATGTACTTTATGTCTATGAACTTAAGTTAATTGCTAATCCTCCCTCAGCCCCCATGCACCTATTTAACTTCCTTATTGGTTGGATTACCCCATCAGGAATTCTTGGAGTTTGACTGCTAAGTTGCTGTTTTTTCACTTTTGCTTGGAATGAAAAAGGACCTTTTGTAAATGTTATCAATTTTTTAATGTTAACTTTTAACCAGGTTTTTGAAATCTGAATACCTATGTACAACGAGAACATTTGGGGCATTTAGCGTAGGTTGTAAAAGAAAAGAAAAGACAAAAAAAAAGAAATTTTTCTCTAATCTCTCATCCCTTTTCTTTCTTCTTTCTCGTGCAAGTAAGTTTACAAACGTAGACTCCCTATTCCGTTTGATTCTGGGTAGTTTGAAAAAATTAATCTTGAATTAAAGTTAGATTGAAACTGTGTGTTTCACCCCTGTCTTCAGGATGATTTTTGTTTACTTTCTTCCTGATTTGATGACTCCTGGAAAAGGAATTACGTTAAGGCTATAACATCTAGATTGTTGTCTGTTCTTTAACTCATCACAGTTGTGATGGTACAGAAAAAATACAAACTTGAGATTTAATGCATTGCATTTAGTCATAAGAATGAAGACTAAGTTGTGTTTGACCCCTTCACGGTTTTACGTACATGACCACAGGGTGGCAGTGTCATTACGTGCGACCTTACTGCAGAGACACTTTTAAACCTGAATACGCTGAATAATGTTTTGAAGGCACTTGAGTAGTGTTGCTGAACTTCTTTTTCGGGAGCAGGCCACAGGGGTGTGTGGAAAGAATGGAGTTACAGTTTTGTGAGTTATGTGGCTGCTCTCAAATCGTGAAAGATATTTAGGCATCACTGGGAAATAGCATGTCTGCTCAGTTCAGGTTGTGATGTTGAGATCTCTGAGCTCAGAGGTGTGAAAAGAGATCTTGGCCCTGGTTTTGAACATTCCTAAACCACATTTTTTTTCACATTGGGAGGCCTGTTTGGGGAGTTGTTACTGTGTGCTTGCCACTGTCAAGCAGCCTTCCCTGGGGATTTGCTGTGAGTTGTTTTCAGGAAGCCATAGGGGGGAAGGTAGATGAAGCTTTGGCTCGAGTCTTTTTTTCTTACCGTGTTTTTTCTCAGTTGAGTTTGGATATCTGTGAGGTACACAGCAAAATAAACAGTGTGAGCTGCCTAGTCATCATCATGTACTTCTATACTAAAGCTGAGATGAAACAGTTACACCAAATATCAGGGGTTCTTTGGTGTCCGAGCTAGCTCCTTGTGAGCCAGCTGGTGGTTGGTATTGTAGTTTTGGTTTAAGAGTAGGTTCCCAGGCAACAAGGACAATGTGACCTAAAGCCAGCCCCATGAGCAATGATGGTACAAAGTCTCAGGAACATGGATTATTTTTAATGTATTATTAATAGCTGGTGTATCTGAATTCTTAATGTCTGGGAATCTTTCTGTCATGATGAATATTCAGTCTTTCAGTCTGATGATCTGTAAGAATCAGCTTTCAATGAGTTCTTTCTCGTTCGTAGCAACTTTATCAAACATGTTGGACAGATAGTTAGAGCCATTGGTTTTAAATATTCAAGGGGAAATTAAAAGAGAGAACTATATATTTTAATCCTTATCCCCTAGATATGTAATCGTGTCATTCTTCTAGGGCTGGAGACCAGATACACGGGCTAGTCACAGTCCCCGCCCACCAGAGTAAGTCTGCTTCTATTTCTGATCCCTTTGTTTAATTGTGCATTATTAACTCACTGCATTTGCATTTTTATTGGTGTGCAACTCACTGTTCCTTGAAATTTGTCATCATAGGTTTGTTTTCTGTGATTTGTTTTTGGAGTAGAATATTTGATACATTCTTTACATTGGAATTAAGTTGATTTATTTTTGGTTGAGCTTAACAGTGGAATTGTAATCACAGAATCACAGAATGGGTAAGGTTTGAAGAGACTACAGTGAATCCAACCCACTGTTCTTTCTGGCCCAACCTCTCTGCTCAAGCAGGGTCATCCTGGAGCACATGACACGGGACTATGTCCAGATGGTTATGGAATATCTCCAGTGAGGGAGACTCCACAACCTCTCAGGGTACTCTGCTACTGAGGAAGAGAAGAAACTTAGTGGCCAGTTGCTGAGCTGAAGCTGAAGGGGCTAATAGGGATTTGCTCTGCAGGCCATATCCAGTTGCAGGGAAATTTTTGTGAAAGAGATAATAATAACTAATAGGTAGTTTGCTTTTACTGTAATTAAAAATAAGAGATCATATTGCTGTTAAAATCATTTTAACTTTCTGCAGGGTGCCATGCCTAGATCTAGGAAAGCTGGGAGATTCTGATGAAGAGGTAATTATAAATTAATTCTGTGCTGCATAGTTTTTAGAATTCATGTGTTGCAGGAGTTTGTAAAAATACCGCTCTGAATGTAAACAATTATGATTGCTTGTCATTTTTTTCCTGTAATTTTAGGATGGGGACTCTTACATACCATACAGTGGAAGCTGTCCTCATACATGCCAGCTAGATTCATCTTCAGATTGGAGAACGTCATTACAGACGCCATGTGCACAGCATCAACATGTCAGTCTGTCACTACAAATATCTTTATAATATGCCCCTTTAGTACTAATTTAGAAAACCCTACATACCTTTTTTAATACAAGTTCTCTCTTTTTTTACTTCTGGTTAAACTCATATCTCCAGCTACTATTCGTCAAAAATATTTTTGGCAGAGTACTTCTTAATGAAAAGCCTCTAGGATATTTCAAAAAACTATTTTCTTATATACCTTAGCTTTTCTTTGTTGGCTGATACACTTAACCTTTTGTTGTAATTATTTTTTAAGAGATGTATGAATAGCTATTTTTATGAACAATTTGTCAAAGGAACTGAAGTATATAATACTTTTCAGATAGTAGGTAATTTTGGTTTATCTTTTCAAACAAAGTGGAACTTTAAAATAAAGATAAGATTGGTAGCAGTCTGTAAGTGTATGATTGAAGACAAAACCCATGTTTACAAGTACTGAGTATTACTTCTATGGGAGAATAATTACTTCTGGTGAAAAGAAAACTTTTGGAGTTACTTGCAGACATTGCATAGGATTTTTCTTAAGGCTGTTGTCTAAACCAGAACTGTGACATAAACTTTGGAATTATGTTCAATTTGTCATAGCTCTTTTATTTGTTACAATTTCTGATCATATTAGCATTTTTTCCCCTGCATATCTAAGAAACTTAATCACCACTAATCTTAAGTTCTTTATAAGGAAAATCAGTAGTCCAGATGCTAACATTTTGGTTTATACTACAGTAAAGCATTGTTCAGGATCAATATCTGCTGTAACAATTTGAAGAATTAATCTGATTACTCAGTTATTACAGTTCCCTGAACGAAGGAAAAATTTTCATTTGAACTCTTACATTTAAATTTGAAAAAACGAATATGACAGGTTTTTATTTGATAACGATACATATTAATTTGTTTTTGCTTAAACAGGTGTCCAGACAATTTTGTCATAACAACGTGGAGGTAAAGTAGCTGAAAAAATATAGACTTTCAGAAAACATTAGCAGTTCAGTACTATGGTATATGCTCTGAAAATGTAGTATGTTTTAATGTCTTTTATGTGACAGGAACTAGCTTATTGGAGAAACTTTTTAATCTGCAGTCAGTATTTTGAGTGTTTCATATGTGATAACTAGAGGGAAAATGCTGAAGTATTACAAACAGTACTCTGCTTGTATATACTTTCTGCTATATTCAAGAGATTTGATACATAGAACTTTAATTCTGAAAGAATGCTACTTACATGGTTATTTTTTGTCATAATCATGCACCATAGATAATCATGGCAAAAGTCTCACAAGTAGTAATATGTTTTTGATTTGAGTGTGTCATGGTTTAACCCCAGCCAGCAACTAAGTGCCACTCGCTCACTGCCCCACCAGTGGGACTGGGGAGAGATTGGAAAAGTGAAAAAACACTCCTGGGTTGAGATAAAGACAGTTGAATATGGAACTCAAAGGCACAAAACCAAGCCACAGCAAGGAATTAATTCACTGCTTCCCATGGGCAGGCAGGTGTTCAGCCATCTCGAGGAGAGCAGGTCCCCATCACACGTGACAGTCACTTGGGAAGACAAACACCATTGCTCCAAACATCCCCCCCTTCCTCCTTCTACCTATTTTGTATGCTGAGCATGATGTCATATGATACGGAATATCCCTATGGTCAGTTGGGGTCAGCTCCCATCTGTGTCCCCTCCCAATTTCCCATGCACCCCCAGCCTCCTTACTGGTGTGGTGGTACAAGAAGCAGAAAGGGCCTTGGCTCTGTGTAAGCACTGCTCAGCAATAACAAAAACATCTCTGCATTAGTGTTCAGCATAAATTCAAAGCATAGTTCCATACTAGCCACTGTGAAGACAATTAACTCTGCCTCAACCAAAACCAGCACAGGATACAGGAAATAACAATTTTCTCTCTTTTTGGAAGAATTAAAAAATATACCTATTAAAAATCCATTATTTTAAAAATATTTAACATATGTAAGCCTAAGAAATATTCTAATGAGTGTTTTTTTTAAAACCCGGAAGTGTAACTAGAGGGGAAAACTAATTTTGAATTAATTTGTACATAACCTGCGCCCCTTCAAACAAATAATATAGTTACGTGCAAGGCTAGACTCCAGATTGGCTGGAGTTTAGTGTGAATCTGCCAAGATCGCAATTTTGTATCTTTCCTTGTAAAGCCAAATAGCTTCTCAACTTGAAAAAAAAAATTGTATTTAAATAAAAACTCAAATGGCTAAGTGTTTTTTGGTCCTTTTTAAATAATGGACTAAAAATGCATTACTTTGTAGAATATGTGCCCAACATAGGTATTTATGCGTGTCTTAAGATGTAACTGTAACCATGGAACTATGTTTTCCTCTGTACTGCATTGTAATGTGCAGTGCAAACATACTTGAGTTGCTATAGGCTTTTTAGGTCTGGATACTTAAAATTTCACTGCTTGCTTTACCATTTTTTTTTTTTTTAAATTTCATACATACAGTTCTGTCTAGCTGTAGGAGTGCTAATGGAATGTTGGCATGACTTTGTCTGTTTCTCAAGGTCTTTCTCCCTTTCTTTTCTGCTTTCCTGTATCTCTTTTTGCTTTCTTTCTGCCTTCATTTGGTCTTAAATACTGAGTGCTCAGTGTGCTGGAATGTATCTTCTGTTCACTTACCCTTTTTTGCACTCTGTCTCTCTTTTTTTGCCTGACTTGCTCCCCACTTCTGTTTTGTTGAGAAGATTTTCAAGCTGTTCTAGAATACTTTAATGTATTCCTCTGAGCAGCCTTTATTTCTGCATTGCTTGCTTCTGGGGCCCTGACTGAAGTTTCCTTTAGCAAGATACATTCCAGCTTCTTCAACAATTGTGTATGTAAACCTTCCCAAAATAGGTCACTTTTGGAAGAATAATTTAAATATAGTCTTACCATTTAGGAATTAACCAGTTAAAGGATGTGAATCCTCTCTTGAAAAGAGAAAGTTGGCCTTTCAAAAACATAAATCTTTTGGGGTTTTGAGAAATGGCTTTCTAGAGCAGGACTGTTACACTGCTGTTGTGAGTCAATTAGAGATGCTAGATACGGTCACCTTATTTCTGTTGGCACTGAAGGAATATAACTTAAACACTGAAGGTGTTAATTATCGAGGGAGAGAAAAAAGAATGATGTCTTGGCCTTCTGACACTGCTGCTGTTTCTATTTATCCCAGCCTCCATTGTGTGGAGCCCTGAAATGATCGTAAAGGTACTTAGCCTTTTCAGCTGCTCTTGTTCCAGGGAACAAAGTCCCTGTGCTCATACTCATCTGCCATACGAGAATGTTAGAACTTCTGACTGAAAACATCCATTTGCCCGTTTACAGCCATCCAAAGTCAAATGTCAGAATTTCCATTTCAGTGATCTGTAGCATCATGTTATAGGGTGGAATCACTGAATTTGGCTTCTTTCTTTAATGAAAAAACTAAGTAAAACCACTTGACTGCATGTTTTTTATATTTAATAATGGTAGAATTTGAAAAACTCAGTGAAAATTAAGCTTGAGTATGCAGTTATGCAGTCATGTTTGCATTTCTTCCTAATTAGAAGCATTGTGTCAAGAAGTTTCTGAAGTTATATTGAATAGGAATTATAATAATGCTGTTCTCATTCAATAGATCAATAAGAGACTTCTGTATTGATTACTCTTTACTTTGACATTCTGTTTTGGAGCAGAAGACAAGACCAGAAAATCTGCCATGCCCAACAGACAGATACAAAATGAAGCATTGTCAGTGTGAACCAGATATGAAGGAAGAATATAAGCAGTATCCTCAGAGAATTGCAGAAAAGAGGAAGGACCACCTCCAGTGTCCAGATGCTTCAGTAAAGGTAGCTGGCAAAGTAGTAATTGCATTTTTAAATAGCAAATGCACATTAGTATTTAATTACACTGTTTGGAGAGGTTTGCATGTGTGTGTAATTAATTTCTTCCATGTTTTTATCTATAAAGAAATAAAAATATGTAATTTCAGTCTTGAATGTTGAAGAGGAAATAAAACACAGAAAGCTTGTTTCAGTTGTTCCAGAACAAGAAAGTGAGGTGCTCTGAGAATTTAAGTATGTTTGTATTATCTGGTAAGAAAAGTAACATATTGCCCTCATAGGGCACCTGTAGCCTGAGCATGACTGTTAGGGAAGAATTTACAGCCTAAGAAGACAATAGACAGTGGGAAGATCTTGGTAAAATTAATTGAAGCTTTTTATTTTTTTAAATATAGAAGTATTATAGTTATTATTCTATTAAATTGTGACTGGATATAGGACTTAAAAAAGGAGAAATGAAAGATCTAATCTGTCCCTGAGGGAACTATTAACACTGAAAATGGAAAGGAATATGGGGTTAAAATAATGAAAGATATTATCTATACTTTTTGCTTTGATGTTATATAAGATACGCTACAGTTGGACTGCAAGCTGTATTAATTCTGCCAGGTTTGTGTTTTTAAATTAAAACTAAGATGCAAAGAAGGGAAAGATCAGTGAAGAGAAACTGGAAAACAAAGGGGTGAAAAAACCCAACTTTCCTCTTGCTCAGAAAGGTATTGCAGAGGAGGGTGGTTGAACAGGGAAAGACACATCACTGTAGTTGTAAGGAAGCAGGAAACATAAATAAGCAACAGCTGTGAGGACTGGCCAAATGCTGAACTCTGCTTTGAGGGTAGATGACCATTTAAGAATCTTAATGAGAAGTTAAGTATGCAGATGTTGAGGGAACATATTGTGCTAGTTGCTTTTCAGAGAAAAGATTTGTGGTGAATAACAATGAGTTTACTGATTTTATTTGCTTAACATTCAGTGGAATGAAAAGTGAAGGTCTTACATAAGACAAAGGTTATGTTTCACATATTGTTGTTACTGTTTTACACATATTGTTGATAGCTTTAAAAGAGCTTTGTCCTCTCAGAGTCAGGCTTCTAGTGTTCAGAAAAAATTAGAGAACCTGCAAAACCCTATAAATATTCAATGAATAAGAAGAGAATGAAAAAAGGATCTGTTATTTTGTGGTCTAGTTTTATGTTTGGTGGCAGATGAGAGCAGCCGAGTTTATCTGAAAATGAAGAAATAGACGGCAAGTGTGTATACTGGGAGAGAAAAAGCAAGACTGACTTTTTCTGGTGATTTTGGGTTCCAGAAAGATTCTTGCTAAGCACTAAAAGTATGTGTACCAGTTCTTATCACAGATTTTAATATAATGTCTATCAGAACAATTTTTTGTGTTGGACATTATCACTCCCTGGTTAGATTAATGAATCAAAACCTCTTTAGATTGCAATACACTTATTTTAATTGATTAGTGGAAGTTGTAATAATTTTTCTTTTCTGGAAAGAAGCTGCTTGTGGAGGAGCACTGCTAACAAACCTACTATTTCGATTTCATTCCCTTGTTACCTCCTTCCTGACTTCTGTAAACAGTCTCCTTTGTCCGTTTTCTTCGTATTCTTAATGTAGGAGATATTTCTGTTATACCTTGGGACTGATTTACAAGTCTCTTAGAACCATGCAGCAGCATGCTTTGACTTTTCCCTGTCTAGATTATATTTAACTTCTTTGCTGGTCACAAAGCAGCCTCACTGCAGTGGTGAACTTTGAGCTATATGCCTAACAGCAAATCCACTGCTTTCTCTTGGCTTTTCTTGAGCAGAACTGAAAAAGGATGAACTCCTGTCTTCTCAGAGGTACTACAGTCTGCTTTCTCTGCCTTGTTGCTGTTTTTTCATAAATCTTGTAGGAACACAGTAGTTTTGAGCTTTTTCTTAAATTTATTTCAGTGTAAATGAAAGCTGGTAAATATTTGAAAGAGATAAGGAAAGACTAGAGAGCAAGATTTATAAGTTCAGTTTCTGTTGAAAACTGTGCTTAAAAAATTCTCTTTTAATTAACGTGAAGTAGAAGTAGATACTTTAAAGAAGAAAGAGAAGGACTTCTAAATGAATTGTTGAGGAAAAGGGGTGTGTGTGTTTTTGGGTTTTTTTATAATTCGTTAAATTTGATTTATGAAAATCTTGTATTTTTTGTGTAGAGTACACAGCTTGGAGATGGACATAATGATGATCTTGTAGCTCTTGATGAGAAAGCTCTCCTGCAACAGTGCTACACAAACAAGCCCTATAATATGCAGCACAGTATAAGGAAATGGGAAGCTGTAAGTATTTTGACTGGTATTATGCTCTTAACAGTCTAGATGTGGAGAATGACTTCCCAGATATTCAGCAGAAGTTATGCCTTTGGTGATTTGGTTCTAATATGTAATTGCAACCATTGAAATCATGTGAGTTTAAACATTTCTTTCAATGGGAACTGAACTGAGCAATCCAGTGAGCATTTTTTAAATCTTATCTGCAATGCTTTTATTTTACGCAGTAATGTATATAACTGAGAATGAAAATTATGAATAATAAATACAGATATGTTCATACAACTAAGAATAACTGAGTGATTTGACTGAACCTGAGCACAGTGTTGCACTCAGTGCCAGGAGGCGGACTTTGATGATCCTTGTGGGTCTCTTCCAGCTCAGGATATTCTATGATTTCCTCTGATCTGTGGCTTTCAGCTGACCCTGTGTTCCATGATCCAAGGATTCCATGATTCCATCAGCTCTGATGTTAGTATTAAATTGAGTCAGCAATGGCTTTGACCAAGTCTTCAAGCTCCAGGGATGGAGCTTCTACAGCATCTCTAGGCAACATCTTCATGTCATACACTACTCTCCTTCAGATGTTCTTCCTATTGTCCATACCAAGCCTCCCAAGGCTCAATGTGTAACCTTCACTTCCTGTTATACTGTTGTCTACTGTCAAAAAAAGTTTGGTTATGTCTTTTTTGTAACTTTTGTTTTGTCACAGGATGTTTTCAGAATGCTTCATAGCTGCTGTTTTTGCAAACTAAACAAACCCAAACTCCATTAGACTCTCATTTCAATTGCTTTGGCTCTGATCCTCTATCAGATCCTATGTACCCAATGTGTTTCTTTAATTTCTTACATAGACATACATTCTACTCTTTGTAGGACTGAGCCATTAGGATTTCTTGCCCATCTAAGGTTAGCTCTTGAATTTAGGATTATTTACAATTGAAGATTATTTACAATTTACCTTGATTTGATCTTGCCTGATTCAGTATTTGCATATGCAAAGCGATAGCTTTCATAACTGGTTTTTGAAAGTGTTGTTGAGCAGAGTTGTACATTCTAACTTTCTCATGGAATATTAATCCATGAGAAATTTTATGATGTTTTTAAAGTAAATAATAATTTTATTTTCTTTGCTCATGACCGTACACTGAAATTTGCATCATTGCAAGTCTTTATTTGATTTCTCATCTTGTCAAAATGAATGCAGATGTTTCACTACTGAGGTCAGTATTCATTTTCATGATAAGAAATCTTTTGAGAAAGTACTTTTATGAAGAACTTGAAGAAGCTGTTATTTTTAAAATAAAGTTAAAATCTATACTATAGGCTGAAGATAATGGAAAAAAGTCTTGAAGCATCACTAGAGTAACTACTTAGTATAAAATCAAATAAGATGACAATAATGAGAAAGGGACCAGTGCAGGACCACAAAATAGCAGGTTCTCTGCAGCTGGCACGTTCTAAAAAGAAGTCAGGAGGTGTCTGAGCAAGGTGTTACTGGGACCTTTAGAAGCTCTTTTGTTATTGATTAGCACTCATGGTTACGTAGGTTGGCTCACTTTTTCTGGGAGCATCTCTTAGGTTCTCCCATGTTCATATTTCTGATAGTGGTAGGAATAATGGAAAAATTCAGCAGAAGTAACTGCATGCATATTAATTCCATTGTGTAAATGTTGCCTCAATTGCTGCCATTTGATTTTAAAGTGCTTTAAAATTTTGCTTAAGAATACACAATGTTAACATGTCCTTTTACTGTAATCATTACCAAAAAGTCAAATGTTAAAGTAGTAATCTCTTAATTTTTCTATAGTTTGAGATGAAAGTTTATAGTACATGTGTAATTGCCAATAGATGGCAATTACTTTTGAAAATAGGATGGTTTTCTCTGAATTGTCATATTTAGGGAGCAATAGTTACTGCTTTCTAACCAGTGAGAGTTGCTTGCAAGTTCAGTGTTTGCCTCTACCTTCTACATTTTTGTAAAATCATAGTAGAGCTTTTGTCTTGGAGCTGAATGGAAGATGTTGCATGGAAAAGTACATTTAGTGACCTAGTATTCATTGAAATTCAAGGTGTAAACTTTCTTTTTCTTTTTTTCTTCTTTGTTTTTATTCTTTTTTTTAAAATCAGATTCTTTCCAGCATGCTAACTTGTTTGGACCTATAAGCCAAGGTCCATGGAATATATTATTTTAACAAATACTGCTCTGTATTATCTCTATGTCCTCCTTTACATCGTGCTTTTTAATATATCTGTTGTGACAGTTAATGGGCAGAATCAATAACTCAGAATAAAGCACCCTGCAGTTCTGATAGGTACAAAAATGAAATATAAAAACAAACAATAAAGCCCCTATCTCCTATAATTCAGAAATCTTCTAAGGCCTAAAATCAGTTTGGAATAACGAACAGCTGGTCTGGTGTTGCATTAGTTATTTGGGTTTTTTGGATTTGGCTCTTTTTTTGACTAGTGCCAAGCAGTATTTATTTTGAATTATGTGAATTCTACCCATAACATCTCTGTTGGTTTGAGAATTATCTGTTACGAGTACCTGTGTCTGGGAACAACCTTTCAATTCTTGATCGGTGGAAAGACTTGATCTCTCTAGAATTTGGTTTGCACACAAAAATTGTGCAGGAAAAATTACCAGTTGGAAAACATCTTAATTCTTTAGTTTCAGAATACCTAAAAAATATCAGAAAGGTTGCATAAACCCCCTAAGTAACAATAATCTCTGTTTTCTTATATATAAAAATTGTTTTTTGGATTTCTGAACTTTTTGATTTCTGAACTTTTCCACTGCACTTGAATTTGCCTTTTGGAAAAAAAAAAAGGTAAATTCAAGTGCAGTGAAAAAGTTCAGGAATCTGGAAGATAAATAGAGATGCCAAGGTCTGGTTGTTGCTGGTGACCTCTATAGTGTTTTGGGGCATCCCTTGTGGTTTGGTTTCTTTCTCTGTAAGGGGTGATGATCAACATCTGCACATTTCACAGTGAACAGCACAAGGTTATGGTTCAGTGTTACTTTAATAAAAATAATAAGTTCATGTTAAATCCCCTTCCCCCTTAGGATGATATTTCCTGAAAGGCCTTTCAGATTGGCCTGTCTCAGCAGAAAATTATTGTGGCATGCAGGAGAGAAAAATCTTGCACTGAGACTAAGTCTTAAAAGAATTTTTTTGACTAAATATTGCTAGAGGTAAAGTTTCATTCTTAGAGTTGGAATCTGTGTCAACCATGAAACCTGGAATAGTGTGAGTTTCCTCAGGCTCTGTTGTACTTAACATAATATCTTGGAAACAATACAGAAATAAGGATGCTGTCTGTCAGTTGAAATAATAGAATTCTCATATTTATTGACAACTAATATGCATAGACAAATTTAGTGTGTAGCAGAGAATATTAATGTATATTTGTTATGCAAATAGAACTCTATTAAAAAAAGATGGGAAAAATATTAATTGTGACATTGGTGAGATTGTGATCTCTGAATGGTTAAAGAGTAATTTATTATTTGAAGTGTCTGGTGTTATATGTTTCATTTGCTCTCAGTCGATTTTTCATTGCAGGAGGATGTTGCTGCAGAAAGGAGAAAACAGGCTGTAGTAGAACAAGTGATGGTGGATCAGCTATGTAGGTAAGTGAATTTATGATGTGAAATTGCGTTTTTCCCTACACAAGAATTTGGATCTGTGTGTGGGTTTTCTTGCTTAAGAGGTGTTTTGGTCATCTTGTTCCAAGTCTTATGCACTCATATGTAGTAGTATTCTTTGCAAAAATTATTTAAATGTAAAGTCTTTTTAATGTTACTTAAGATATCGCTATAAAGTGCTAGGTGTATGTTAATTTTTTTCTGAGAATAATTTTTAATTTTATACTTGAACCTATTTGAAGGGATTTACAGTAGCACTAGCTGGCAGAAATAACCCTCCTGCACTGCAACAAAATATATGGATGCCTGATGTTACAAAATATGATTCTTCAGTATTTATTGTCCTTTCTCAGAATCTTAGCTTTATTAATATTCCTTTAGTAATACTCACATAACATCTTTCAGGCATAAAGGAGTATTATACCCATGTTGGGCAGGTAGGAAAAAAAGACACTGATAAATCAAGTTGATAAAAATTGTACAGTAAGGCTCTCCTAAATTAATTACTATCCCTTTAGCTTCAAGAAAGCTTCTGTATGGAAAGATTCCCCTATTTTAAGCAAGCTTTAGTAATTCAGGGCTTTATGCAAGCTGTCTAGTTATGACAATATAGGAAGATGCAAGCTAGTTTAATATAGTTTCACTTTATTTTATTCTTGCTAAGAATTATCTGTGGGTACATCTACAGTATGTTGCATTCTATGCCTGTTTTACAGTCTCTGTAGTCATCTGCATTGGTATTTTAGCCCATCATATCTTAAAACTTTGAGGTTGAAATGTTGTCGTACTTCACCATTTTATTTTTTCTTTGTTTCCATTACGATGACTATTTAAATGACCTATATTGTTTAAAAGTCTGTATAATGCTTTTATGCTATTTAAAAGCTGAGATAACAGGAAGGTTGCCTGAGGAAAATAAGATTGTCATGAAACATGATGATAAATTACAAGTGTCATTGTAATAGGATTAAAATTAGGCAACTATTCAGTGTAGAAATCCCCAGTTTTCAAATAAATGCTTGGCCTGTGTCATACCTCTTTAAAGATTGTTACAGAGATGATCTTAAAAATACACTCATTATGTTGAAGTGTTTCAGTACTACTGATGTTGCATTAAATGTACAGCTTTGTGCATTTTAGATCAAGAACGCCCATTCTGTGTTTAACCTCCTTCAGCTGCTTTGCCTTATTTTTCCCATGCATTCCTTCTACTCTGAACCCTCTACTGATAATGTCAAACCAATATTCAGTAGTGCTACAGTTGCATCAGGATGAAGTTCTAATTTCAAAAATCTCTCTGTTTATATTCCAAATATAACTGTGCCAGTATGACCAAACAAATTGGTATCAGATAGCAGGATGTTAATTGGAGAAGAGTAGTTCAGAACTGTTGAATAAAAAAAACCTATTAAAGGAAACACAAAGGTGTTTTGAATTTTTTTTTTTAGTAGAGGCAATTTTGCACTTAAATCAGTGTAACTGATGTGTGCAAAGATGGAACTGTATAAATCAGAGAGCAAGTTTAGGAAGCCATAATAGCTGTGCAAAATTATTTTTTTCCTTCTGATAACTATTTCAATAGTATAACAAGCATCTCATTTATTTTTAAAAGGTCGTTTCTTTACTTGCTGAACTGATAGAGAAGATATCAAAATGTTCAAAACCCAGTTCATCTATTTCTTTTCTGCTGCATGGGACTTTGAGATCCTATCAGCTCTGTAGTCAGTGCTTTGAGGGAGGAATTGCCAATGTTTTTGTTGGATGACAGATTGGATGGGGCTCTTAGCAACCTGGTCTAGTGAAAGGTGTCCTTACCCATAGCAGGGGGTTGGAACTAAATGGTCTTTAAGGTCCCTTCCAACCCAGGCCATTCTATGATTCTTTGATGATGTCACTGCCACTATTAGAAAACTGCTATCACTGATCTTGGTGGGAGCCATGAATAAAGAATATCACTGATGAAATATTTACAGAAATAGTGGAAATCACAAAAAAACCCCACAGACCTTCATAATACCAAGATTTTTTTAATATCAAAATGTATAAAATATACTTCAAATAATACATATATACATGTAAAGTTACTACATAGTAGTGCACTGCCGGAATATTATTGCATATATGTGATTTTAAGTAATAAGCTTAAGAATTTGTAAAAACAAACAAAAAATGAAATCACAAATTTATGCAAGCTTAATGGATAATTCTGAGATTTTATTGCTGTGTTATTCTTTGGTGTTTTCTCTCCTGAGTAAAAATATGTAAGACCTGAAATTGAACATACTAATAGTCAGAGGGCTTCTCCCTGCCCTTTGTGGTCAGAGCTGTTATAAGTGACCCAGAGCAGTCTACACGTTCTGATGTTTGCAAGGAAGCTCAAGGACTTCTGGGACTTGGGACAGCACCAATGCGTTTTAGAAAAAGAACACTGCATGAAACGAAGTAAGTTTGTAGAAATACATTTTTCTGCTGGTTTGTTTGGATTTTTTTTTGGCTCTGTGAAGTTTGTTTGCCTTTCCAGATGTTTTATTTCTGGCTAGGATCCACCAGCTTCCTGTGAGGCCTTTTTTTATAGCCTTCCTGTGCTTATTATTGCCTAGTGGGACCTTTTTATGTGAATTCTTTGTGTATAATGATTGATTCATAGAATTTGTAAAACCTGGGAGAACATTCTTAAGCTTATATTGATATTATTCATCACGAGGTTTTGCCAGCCTTTTCCAAGCAAGTTGGATGCTTGCAATCCTGTCATATCCTTTTAGAGATTCCTATCCTGAGGTGCATAAATTGCATAAATATGCATCTGTAAATGCTAAATATAATCTTGTTTTTCTTTCATGTTATGATTTCTGCTGCAATAATTAACCCTATTGGCATTTAAATTACATTTCTGGACTGTGAGCATTGAAACAGTAGCTGCAAGGGCTTAAGAAAAAATGAAAAAACACTGTCATCTGTAAAATGCAATGAATCTGCGTGTCTGAGTTTTGTTCTGTAAATTTTTCTCAACATTCAGGCAAACATCTCTGTTTTGTACATTTTAACATCACTCTCTAAAGTCTTTCTCATCGAATGCCATCTTTGTAATCTTAAAAAAAGAAGAAAGACAACAAAACCAATATCTCAATCTCTTACACCCATCACATGGACAAATGTCCATTTCTGAAACTAATAATAGGACCAATATAAAATATTTAGGTGGGTAAAGAAGCCTTAGTCTGGGTATTTTTGCAAGACAGCACTGATTCATGAAAGTATGGTGAGTGGCAGAGGTTTAATTCTTTATAAAAGTGTATGGAAACAATATATCCCGTTCATATTTTTGCCTTCTGTGAATGTACTCTCATATTATATAATAACAGAACATATTAGTACTCTGAGTTGCTTTCTAATTCAACTACAAGGGATCGTCTCCTCAACCAGTTGCCAAGGATACCGTATTTCATGTTTTTTGCTGTTTTGAAATGGTTGATTTTTATGTAACATTTATCTGTGAACCTATAGGTATTGTTAACATACTGCATTATTTTCACAGAATAAGGACCAAATCAGGATTAACTGAAAACATGCTCTCCAACAAGCTACGCTTTGATAGTAGGATTATATCAAGGTAATCACAAATTTTGTGAAGCTTTTCAATTCTGTGAATTTATGAATTATGATATTTACTCTCTTGAACTATTAATTGCACTGAATGTTTCTGTTGCCTATGCTGAGGAAAAAGAGTACATGCTGTGTGGTTGCAGATATATTCATATATGTATAATACAAATTTTGACACAGCTGATGAACAGTGGCTTTTCAGTCCCACTGTAGTGTTGAGATCTCTTAAGTCATGTTATGTTACCATCATGCCTGTAGCTCTGATGAGGATAGTTAGCACAGAGACTATTTAAAATAGTGCTTTTAGCTCTAGCATCCCAGTTGATTAAAACTTAATTTAGCCTTGTCTTAGATGTGGCAACTATTGTGAATGTCACAATTATAGATATGGTTTTGCAACTTATTTGTGGCTCCTTATGTATTAAACTTTAGGACATCTTTGTTCTGGTTTGAGTAGCTGTAGTATAAACATATTTTTCAGCTTTGAAAGTGATGCTTTTCTAGAACTGTGAGCTGTATACTTATTCGACATAGCTGAGGATTCAGCTACAAAGGTTCATATACCACAATGAAGGCAGTAGTCCTGGTGTACATAATCCTTTAGTTAATGAGTGAAAATTATATTGTATAGTGAAACATGAAGCCTTGAAAGGTGTTTTTAACATTATAGAAATGGAATATTGCATTAAAATATGTGATTGAATCCACAAGTTGAATTTCATGATGTGTTAGAGAAAATAGTGAAATACCTCTTAAAAAAAAAAAGTACAATATGCAACGTTGGAAATAAAATGAATATTGAGAGCAACCTTGAGGAGAAGAACTTGGGGGTGCTGGTGGATGAGAAGCTACAGGACTCATCAATGTGTGCTCACAACTCAGAAAGGCAACCATGTCCTGGGCTGCATCAAAAGCAGTGTGGCCAGCAAGTCAAGGGAGATGATTCTCCCCCTCTACTCCTCTTCTGTGAGACCCCACCTGGAGTACTGCATGCAGCTCTGGGGTCCCCACCACAGGAATGACGTGTACTTGTTGGAGCGAGTCCAGAGGAAGGTCATGAAGATGAGCTGGGGGCTGGAGCACTTCTCCTATGAGAACAGGTTGAGAGAGTTGGGATTGTTCAGAACGGAGAAGGGAAGGCACCAGGGAGACCTTATTGCAGCCTTCCAGTGCCTAAAGGAAGGCTGCAAGAAAGATAGACAGGAACTTTTTACAAGGGCATGTATTGGTAGGACAAGGGGAGATGGCTTTAAACTGGAAGAAGCCAGGTTTATGTTAGATATTAGGAAGAAATTCTTTGCTGTGAGAGTGGTGAGGTACTGAACAGGTTGTCCAGAGAAGTGATGAATGCCTGATCCCTGAAAGTGTCCAAAGCCAGCTTGGATGGGGCTCTGAGCAACCAGGTGTAGTGGAAGGTGTCTCTGCCCATGGCAGGAGGATTGGAACTAGATGATCTTTAAGGTCCCATCCAACCTAAACCATTCTGATTCCAAAGTAAGTGTCATGTTCTGATTGAATTGGATTTATATAGACGAAAAACATAAAGGTGCTTTTTAATTTCCCTTCTAGAAATGGCCGTGATGCTTGTAGAGAGTTGATTGGATTTTTTTTTGCATGTGACAGATCCCTCACTGTGTATGAATTTCGACAGTTTGGAAGAAACAGGTAGGATAAATTACTTTTTAAAAAGGTTTTGGAAAACATATTTCACTGTATCTAAGAAGCTTAAATAAATTTAATTGTTTTAATACCAATTTTGAATAATTTCACAGAACAAATGCCTTGCCTTTTATTCAGAAGGGAGTTTATCAACATCAGCGTGGGCAAAGGAAGGGAAAAGCTTATGATCTTAGTGACTTTTACGTTGTAAGTATTCTTCTGGTGAATGTAAGGCAATTTTGTTGGCGGCTTGGAAGTAATATTTAGATATGCGAATTGAAAATTGTGATCTAGACTTCTGGGAAGACCAAAAGTCTTTCCCTTCAGTAACGTTTTTGAATTAAAGACTGTCCAGAAGTCTGGAGTATTTTGCTGCCCTGGGTTTTATTGATTCCATTTTAGGCTTCAGATTAAGGTGTAGTTTGTGATTTTTCCCCTAGAGGGCACAAGACTGCAGGGAGTGGGGACCTTTTGTGGGCAGAATTATCTACTTGGGAAGGAGACTCCTGAAGAGAAAGTAGACCAAAGTATTTGTTAAAAATAAATAATCTTTGCAAGATCTACTGGCATTTTTAACTCGAGACAATGATTAATTATTTTTTATACATGAAGAAATTGCAGGTTAATTGTTCTTAACCTACAGTCTTAAATGTACACCACCAGCTGTTTAGAGCAAGCATTTTAAACAATGGTAAACTTCATCTGCCAGCTGATCTGATGACTGACTATGAATTGTATTGCATCTTCTGTACTGCTGTACTTCTGTACTGGGTTACATGTTCATGGTTTATAAATACTTGAGCAAGTTTTCAGGTACAGACTGTTTTCACTGAGTTCTTCACATCCTCTAGCAAATCTGAAGTTCAGAGCAAAAACTGTGCTTGTATAAAATATTGAAAGTAAAAGAAGATGACATTAATTTTTAGTATGCTTTGTCTTATCATATGGTTTATCCGAACTGCTTGCATATAGTGACAATCTAAGAATTTCCAAGATAAAATAGACAAATTTATTATATGGAGGTTGAAGCAACGTGTTAGAGATTTTCTTTTTATTTTATTGTCATTTGTGTTTTTGTAATCTGCACGTGGAAATGGTTCTGAATAAAGATGTATCGTGAAGTCATCTGGAATATTTGCTGCAATTAAGTTCAGTAGTTCTTTGGAATGATGTTGTATCTGTGAATCTCCATATCTGCAATCTTGCTTTCTGAGCTTATATTAAACATATACAGATCTCTCACAAAGTCCAAATAGTTTAGACACTCACACAATAATGATGTCTGTCTCCTCCTTCTGAATTCTTGAGTTTTGAAGATTTTGTAACCCAAACCTGCACAGATATTACAATTAAAACTACTGCTATTTTTTTTAATTATTATTGTCAGATGCGGCAGTGAATAAAAACACGACTCTCCTGGGATGGTGAAAACAGAGAGACTGCTTTATTAAAAACTGAACAAGTTCCTATATTCAAAAAAGGTGTGGTTACAAAACATGGGGGGAGTGAGCACAGTCCTGTCCAATCATCCAATCACTTCAAAGCTTCTTTCTGGGACACCCATACTTGGTCATCCTTTCGAGGGCTTCCATCAGGACTTCAAGTCCCAGTGTACACTGCGACCATTACACAATAAACATCCCATATTAACTTGCTCATAACTCCACACTCAGCATTCTTTGCTTTTAGTTTGCTGCTTTTCTTTCTCTACCCTCCCCTCTTTTTCCAAACCAAGAAGCATCTTTAACTTTGCAGAATATGTGAGATGTGTCCTCTCTCCCCATCTTGGAAGGAAGGGGAATTAGTAATATTCAGAAGAGACTATACTGGCTAGTAGAACTCAATGCTAGTAACAACATCTTTTTATTCCATATTTCTTAGCAAAATCTAGAATTTTTAAAGCATAACTTTATTGTTAATAAAATAACAGAAGAGTTTCTTTTAGTGTGAGAGAACTTTGCTCTCATGGAATCAGTGTTGTACCTTCTGTGACTCTCTTCTCTGGTCCAGTGAGTTTTGGATCTCATCAGGCTGAAGGGAGAAGAAAAATTGAAAAGCAGAGCCTGTCTGAGGGAACAGCAATCTGTAGCCTCACATTTTGCAGCTGTAGGTTAGGCAACAGTATGCCCTCTTACTAGCCAACCCTGCATGTGGAGGATAATGTGTCATCTTGAAGCCTGAAGCTCAACTGGTTTTATTTGGTATTAGAAAGGCTCTGTTTAGAAGGTTAACTCACCCCAGCTACACTTTTTCATCGTTTCATAAATGCTTTTAACAAATGCTTGAAAGTCTTGGGCGATGTACTTTACAAAATTCACAGAATCACAGAGTGGTGTTGGAAGGGACCCACAAGGATCATCAAATCCAAATCCTGGCCCTGCACAGGACTATCCCCAAGTGTCACACCATGTGCCCAAGAGTGTCATCCAAATGCTTCTTGAACTCTGTCCAGTTTGGTGCTGTGACCACTTCCCTGGGATGCCTGTTCCAGTGCCCGAGCACCCTTTGGGTGAAGAACCTTTTCCTAATATCCAACCTAAACCTCCCCTGACACAACTTCAGGCCATTCCCTTGGGTCCTGTCACTGGTCATCACAGAGAAGAGATCAGTGCCTGCCCCTCCTCTTCCCCTCCCGAGGAAGCTGTAGACTGCAGTGAGGTCTCCCATCAGTCTCCTCCAGGCTGAACAAACCAGGTGACCTCAGCTGCTCCGCATACGGCTTCCCCTCAAGACCCTTCACCATCTTTGTTGCCCTCCTTTGGGTGCTCTTTAAGAGCTTAATATCTTATATTGTGGTGCCCAAAACTGCACACAATATTCAAAGTGAGGCTGCACCAGAGCAGAACAGAGAGGGACAATCCCCTCCCTCATCTGCCTGGTGATGCTTTGCCTGATCCCTCCCAGGACACAGTTGGCCCTCCTGGCTGCCAAGGCACTGCTGAGTCATATTCAAGTGGCTGTTGACCAGGACTCCCAGGTCCCTTTCCGTGGCACTGCTTTCCAGCATCTCATTCCTCAGTCTGGGTTAGCCCTTCCCAGATGCAGAATCCAGTACTTTCCCTTGTTGAACTTCATATGGTTGGTGATTGCCCAGACCTGTAATTTGTCGAGGTCTCTCTGCAGGACCTCCTGCAGGAATCAACAGCTCCTCCCAGTTTTGTGTTGCCTGCAAACTTGCTTAGTAACCCTTCCAGTCCTGTGTCCAAGTAATTTATGAAAATGTTGAAGATCACAGGGCCTAAGACATGACCTGTTTTTAAATCATTGTATCCTTTACCAACAGGGAGCTAATCTAACTTTCCGAAGTGTTGATCATAACCTTCCAGAAAGTGTTAAGCAGAACCCTGTCTTCACCCTTCGTGTGATAAGTATTGATGAAGCAGCTATGGATTTTCTAAAGTAAGTGTTGCTAACTGTTTTTCAAATTACCTTCCATTCCTTAAGCAAAAAAGATCTTTTTAATAAAAGCTTCTAATACCTTATTACTTATACTGCTAAAAACAGAATCTGTATTTAGGCTGTTTAAATTAGTAATAGATGTTAGTGGATTTTGCACAGTTCAGTAACTTTCTAGAATGATAAGGATAAAAGAATTAATTAAATTTTGAAGCTGTCCTATTTGCTAAGTTTGAAGTTACATGTTTTTATATACTAATCAAATACTAAAAATTTTCTTATGTGATGAACTAAAATACTACCTTTGGGGAAAATGCTGGGTTTTATGATCAACGTTATTATTGCATCTTTTGTGATGTATATGTTACGAGTTTATATCAGTCATGATAATATAAGTGTTTGAACACACACAGAAGAAGAATTAGAGGTTTATCTCTCTGGTTTTTCATTTTCTTTTTCATTCCTCTCCTCATTCTTGCAGTAATTGCTCCATGTTGAAGACTGTAAGTTTTCTGCACTTATTGTTTCCAAGTAGTTTGTACTAAATTATGTTGTCCCGGAGTCTGAAAAATGAGATTTTTTTTTTAGAATTTTTTCAAATGGTAGGTAAATAGTTAATTTTGACTATGTGTCTCATACCAATACCTGTACAGAAGTCATCTGTCTAGAGAATTAAGTATCTTTCTCTGTGGTTTCTGGCTTTTATTGTGAGTATAGTGCTTCTTAGCACAAATAAAATCTCGGTATAAAATTTATCACACTACTGTGCCTACCTGATCACGGAAGTTATTTAACAGTGTTGGAAATAACAGTCAGGGTTTGATTACTCAGATTTTGGTGAGGAGAGTCAGCTGGCAGCAGATGTGACAAGGTAGAAATTTTCATAAAATCATGGAATCATAGCAAGGGGCCTCAAGAGGGTCTCTAGTCCATCCCTACTGCACAGAGCATGGTTTATTGCAGCAGATTGCTCAAGGTTGTATCCAGTTGGGTTTTTAGATACCTCTGAGAATGGAGACTCTGCAACCTCTGTGGGCAACCTGTTCAGTCTTCAGTCACCCTCATGGACAAAAGTGTTTCCTGATTGTTCAGAGGGAAACCTGTGTTTCAGTTTGTGCTCATTGTCTCTTGACCTGTCATCGGGCACCACTGAACAGAGCCTGTCTCAGTCTTCTTTACTCCCTCGTGTCAGGTGTTTATTATACACACTGGTAAGATCCCTCAAGCCTTCTCTTCTCCAGGCTAAACAGTTCCATCTCTCCCAGCTTCTCTTCATATAGCAGATGCTTTGATCCCTGCTTGATTAGGAACAGCAATAACAAAATCTCAATTAAATATGTTCAGTATCTAAAGACTACTTTTGTTAGCAAAACTTGACTATTATTTTTTTTTTTCTGCAAGTGCTTATACAAATGAAGCTTGTTCTCAGTTACAGTAATATTCACTTTAATGTCGCTTTATACTGAAAGCTTTGCAAAGGAGCTATAGTGAGCTAACAGTGCATAGAACAGTAAATTCAAATTCAACTGCTTATAGAAATATAGTTGTATGATACTTAGTGCTAATTGTTCCCTCCACGAAATAAAACACCATATAGTTTAATTTAAGGTAGTTTATGTAAGAAATTTACATCTCAGAAGCCTATCATTCAGGTAAACAGTTTTTTCTTTCATTTGTTGCTAATCTTATACCAGTGAAATTTGGAGTTGATCCAGTATTATCTCTGAAGGTTTCAGAAAGACTACCTGCTCACTGGGTTATAATTTTGGCTTTTTTACTACCTGTGGTGGAATAGATTGTTTCTTTTTTTATGTTCTCTCAGTGTTCTTTCCATTAGTGACTGAATTTCAGACTGTAAAGTCTGTCTTTATCTTCTGTATGAGAGTGTTACTGAACGCTCTTGTAGTGGGTCTGACTGGGATGGAGTTCATTTTCCCATAGCCACCCTCACAGTGATGTGCTATCCGTGGGTAGCTAGAAGGGTGCTGATAACACACCGGTGTTTTGGCTACTGCTGAACACAGCACCAGCACTGTAACATTCCTTCCCCAGTCAAGGGCATGATCCTGGGAGGGGACATAAGTAGGCCCAGACTGACCAAAGAGATATTCCATACCATATGATGTCAGCTCAGATATAAAAGCTAAGGCCAGGAGCAGGAAGGGGGGCATTCATTGTCTCCGATAGCTGCCTGCTGAGGAACCGCTACGCGTGCCCAAGCCCTGCTGCTCGGCAGTGACTGGCCAGAGAATAAACTCTGCTATCTTTCACTTCTGCGCTTTTTGCATGTGCAAGCTTTTGCCTAGCTTCTGCTTTAATAAACTGCCTTATCCATACCCACAAGTTGTTTTCCATCTTACTCTCTCCCCTGTCCAGCTGGAAAGGGAAGTGACAGAGCGGCTGGGTGGGCACCTGGCATTCAGCCGAGGTCAGTCCACCACAGCTCTATTCTTGGGTGCAAAACTTTTGAATATAGTCCTCTTACCATCATTACTGTACTGAGAGAGAATCCTGCTCAGCTACAGTCCAAAAGGTCTATTTCAGGTTTCCAGGAGCACTTGTGCCCTGCTATCACAAACCATTAATCTTTTGATTTACACGTTTTAGAGAATATGTTGTCCTCTGTAGGTGGTTGTTGACTTTCCAGTTCCAGTGGTTCTTCCACAATATTTTTTTATCAACTTTATAATAGTTTTTGATGAAGCTTATTAGGAAACCATTCTCAGAAGGGAACCTGCCAGGAAAACCCCACAAAATTTAACCAGAATTCCTAAATATGCTGATCCAGCTTTTAGTTTACACTCTTTCTGTTTGTCTTCTAAAGAAAGATTTGTAGCTACTTCATGTTATTTTCCTGTTGGTGATTAAATGTAGTTGTTTTAACAAACTCTTCCAGTGGCATGAGCTGAAGATTAGGATTGTCTTGAAATAAATTTCTGCAGATCTTATGCACGGGAGGAATTATCCATAATTAAGGAATTAGTAGAGGAGCTGATAATGGAATATTGTGAGAAAGGAATTTCTGCATATCTGCAGCTGTTCAGCAAGGACTTTTGTGGGTACCCTCTCAAACTCAAGCAATTGGATACTGTGTTTATAAGGGTAGTATATCAATTAAATATAAAGGCGATTTTTTTTTTAGTACAGCTGTTTTGAATGTAGTAGTATTACGTGTAATCTCACCAATCAACATTAATTTTGATTTCTTTAGGGCTTCTTCTGTGGAATTCAAGCAACAGTGTTCCAAGCAAGTGGTCAATGACAGCAAAGTTTTCAAGAAGATTCAAGGTTTGTGTCTACCAGAACCCATTTTATTTTAATTTCTGTATCTCTATGTCTTTACAGCTCAGTGCAATGAACAATAGTGATGTTATAAAGATTTTATTTGTATAAATGAAAATAAAAGTTAGACATTTATCATAATATTACTGGAATCTGATACTAGCACAAATTAGTTATAAGAAAGCTTTCTGCTGTCTCTTTGAATAAACAATCTAGGTAAAGATTGGGGAGAAGATAGAGAATAATTGTGAATGTTTGCTGTCATTTGCTAAACCTCTTTTACATAGGCACTCTGGTCACTAGAATGTGCTTGGACATTTATTTTTAAAAAAAATTTTTGGAAAAAAAATTAGGGTTATTTTTTAATCTTCTAGTTATTCCATTTTCCCCCTTGCATAATAGACACAAATTGATTTCTGAATTCTCTGACTATGTCAAAAGTTTCCTGGTGTGGCCTGGAAGAAGGTTATGTTTGTATGCTTCAAAGCACCTTTTAACATCCATTTGAGTATCAACTTCACTGGAAAAAGCTTCTTTCTTTCACGTCATATCACAAGTGGGAGTGGGAGCTTCAGACAAAGTTTATTAGAGAAGCCCTCCCGTTAAGTCAGGAGGTGCAGAAAGGAACCCCTTGCTTTCTAAACTGCTTCTCAGAGAGGAGCCTGGGTGTGGCTGGATCCAACGTCAGCCCCAGACCTTGTCAATGGTTCTAAGTCTAAGGAATTACAGAGGTGTAATTGAACCTTTATACAACTTTGTCCTGCAGGATTAAAGGTGGCAAACTGGGTATATTTATATAAAATGAATTATTTATTATAAGAAATGATTAGACAAAAGATCTTAATCAGAATGATTTACTACGCAGTGTAGAAACTAAAACTACTAAGATAGGATAGGATAGTGCACTATATCAAAGCCATTGTATTAAAGCTAGCAAAATAGAAATAAACTATTATTAAGTAGAGATTGATGTAACTGACCCATACAAACAACTCTTTCACTCAACCTTGAGGGGTAACCTTGAGGGGTCTCCCCACCCAAGGGATGAATCTCCACACACACTCCAAGAAGGGTCATGTTAGAAGAACCTATTGTATGCAAATGGACTGGACTTTTGTAGTATAAAGTGATTGACTGCCATGTCTGCAGGTCAACTTAGCAGCTTATCTACCAAATGTTTGCCTTATTATCAGAATGTCAGTTTGAGGTTGATGTGTCGGACTGGTTTTAACATAATTCAACACCAAAAACTGCAAGACATATTCTCTCTCAGTCCACCACTGATAACTTTGCAAATAGGTTGCTTGTCCACATTCCAGGGCACAGCATCCTGATACACCTTGCCCCTATTTTACTTTATAATTGTAGATACAAGTAATTTGAAGGTAATAGCAGGTGACTTCTGTTAATAGAGAAACTCGAGCATCCGTAAAGTAAACCTGCTACCTGAAGATTTTGATAAGGCTGTTGTTTTTACCATAGAAATAGTTCTCTGCATATAATTCTGGAACAATTTTGCATAATTACTCATATTTGTCCTTGTTTCCACATGTATTTAACATGTTTGCACAATAAAGAAGCAACTCTGTTTCATAATGGAGTGTTTGCATTGTTCCAAAGTTGCACTGTATGTTGAATCATAGGATGTAATCTGTTCTAGCAGAAGTAAACAGTTTTATAATATGAGCATATAGAGGGAAATAGCCATTATTCCTTTCCTTCTGTGGTCTCTTTAAAAGTTGGTGAGATATTGCTGCTGCTTTACATGATTTCCACTTAAATATTAAGTAACTGATAGTTTCATTTTGGACTGGTATTCTTTCATCAAAGATCAGGAAGCCTGGATCCATAGATATGTCATTTTAACCAGCACTATCACAAGTAGATGTGGTGTTCTTTACTTCTGTATTATCTCCATAGCAAGGGGCTAACTTTGGGTAAATGTTGTGTCCGTTATTTCTCTAAATCCTCAGGTATATTCAGAGGGACACTAAGTAAAAGAGGAGTTCGGGTTATAACGGGCTTAGGAAAGTATTTCCGACAAATAGACAAGAGCAGAAATGGTTTTCTCTCTCAGGCAGCCTTTAAAGAAGCTCTAAAAGTATTCCATTTGGAAGTGCCTGAAGGGGTAAGTCTAGCTGAAACTATAATCGTGGGTATTATCTTTCTTAATTTATGGAATTGCTTTCTTTTCTTTGCTTAAATCTGTAGTTTAGTAGCTGATTTTTGCACATTTTCTTTTGGTGGTGTTTTTGGGTTGTTGTGGGTTTTTTTTTTTTCCCCCTTGTGGTATATTGGCATTTTTGCATTCAGTTCTGTGTAAAATTCTTAAAAATAAAAAATTAATATATTTAAAAACATGCAATCTTTTTACATCATGACATGAAGAAGCAAGTGTGATTGCAATCCATTTTTTCTCCTTTGGCTTTAAAGAATAGCTTATGCTATTTTCTCATGTTTTTTCTTTGTTTTATATGTTAGGTTTTGAAAATAGCCAACAGCTATCAGAACTGCAAATAATGTGAATTATGGTCATCAGTGACTGATATGCATTATTTTTACAAATCTTTGAGTGAGTTTGGATTTAGAAGTTTGGAGGTTTTTTGGTGACAATACAGTAGTTTTCAATTACAGCAAATGTTTTTTTTGGGACATAGCGAAGAACTTTAGCAAAATATTTTTAAATTGCAGGACTTTGAATCCTTATGGCTTATTCTGGATGATAACAAGAGTGATAAGGTCGACTATGGAGAATTTACTCGTGCCATATTTGGAGAAATGAATGAATATAGGAAAGCCTTTGTAAGAAAAGTAAGTTTTATTGCAGATATTCTAAATGCAAATATTTTGCAGTCTAAGTTTGGAGTTAGTTACTTACCATGTTCTGGTTGTTGAGTTTTGTTGTTTTTCTGAGTTGTGTATCTGGAAATTGACTTTTTAAAATTTCAGATCAGTTTATCAAAATAAAAGCAAATTAGAGGATTGCATCCTGTTCCGTTGTTGAATTAGTTAATTTTAAACTCTAGAAATAATTTCTTTATTATTTTGATTTTATGTATATTTGTGCTTTTCTTAATAGTTCAGTCTAGTGTATAATGCATCTGGCACCCTAAAATGATCTCTTCCAGAAGTCTGTTTCCTTATTTTGGCAGATGATTATATCAGTGTAGACTTTTTTCCCAGATTGCCTGAAATAGGAGGCAATAATACTTGTCTCCTTTGAGACCTACAATTAGAGTAATTATATTTGTGAGACTTGTTGTATTTGAAGTGCCACTTGTTTTATGTCTATAATGTAATGTGGAGCTGTTTGCATTATCAAACAGTGATTATGAACCAGCCAAGCAGTATTATCAAGATCAAGAAAAAGGACATATACTTTCATACTTTCAATCATGCAGGGATCTGACTGTTCTAGCCTTTTATATTGAGCATGTGTACTTGAGTAAACTGAAATGAAAATGAAGCTGCTGTTAGCAGTGCTGAAGAGGCTCTGTCAGAATGATGCAGGAATCTTAGTAACTGGGGAGGCAGAAGGGAAGCAGCTTAACTTCTGATTCTAAGGGTGAGCTAAAAATTACGGAGAGAAAAATTTTTTGAGTTGATGAGGGGACCACATTTGATGTGAAAGCTGTTGAGATAAAATAATCACGAAACTGCATAATCTAGAATAATTTTCTGGTATCTGGTGCCTTATATAAAATAGGTAAATTGACATAATCCACTGCACAAGATCTGTTAGTATATGCCAAGTAGTTGAGTATATTTGATCTTTTCATCTTCCCACTTTTTTTTTCCTTATATGCTCATGCTTTAACTCTTTTTCCCCCTGTAGGCTTATATGAAACTAGATTTCAACAAAACTGGGAGTGTGCCTATGGTAGATGTCAGAAAATGTTACTGTGCAAAGAAACATCCTCTAGTATTGGCAGGTAATTCATATGAACAAACAAACAAAAATCTGTAGCTACTGAAGTAATTAGCAGAAGTAATAAGATACAGAAACTGGTTGGAAATACAAACTCTTTTCATATTGGCTTAGACTTGAACTGTTAAGGAGAACTTTTTTTGTCTGATGACTTACAATGTGTCTATCCAGAACATGACTATAAATAGTAATAGAGTTCATATATACAACTTTAATGCTGTTCTTTATCAAGCTGCAAACACTGCATATATGCAGAGTAATTATTTTCCCTGCCAGTGTAGGACTACATGGAAGCAGTCATTTCTCAGATTTCATCTGTAAGTTATCAGTGACAAATATGATATTAATAGTTTTCACTTAGGAGGATACTCTTATTTTCACATTACTGTTTTCCATTAAAATATGCAAGGATTCCAACTGACACAGAGTGTACTCAGTACTTGAATAATTTATTCAGAAGGAACTTCATTTATTTCTGGGACAGGTTTGTTATCCTCTACAGAGGAAGTGCTGGTTTTTTCATTATTCATTCATTATTCATTATTTTTTCAGGATTCTCAAAAATGTTTAAAATCTGCCATTGAAAAAACAGGAATTTAACTATTTGTACGGCAGTTTCTAAACTAATATCTCCATGTACCAAACTAGTCACTGTGAAAGTCTCCATAGTGTTGTGACCTTTTCGGTTTTACCTGTAGAAAAGAGGATGTTTTTTGTATTGCCAGTGATTTTAATGGTAACATATGAAGACGCACGGTGGTATAGGGGTACAACATGTGAATGTTTCCAATGCTGTTGGCATATTTTATGCAATTTTTTCTCAATGATACAAAATCATCTTGAGTATTTATAAAGTGACTACGACACAGATATAAATTGCAGAACTTTTCAAATGCTAATTTGCATACTAAAGTTTTCCTAGAACTTTGAACTTGTGTTACATTAAACACATTCTTTCTTACAAGATAACTTCTGAAATACCAAAATTTTAGTTTACAAATGTATTATTCGATTTTTGCATTCACTCGAAGAAAACAATCTTCCTGATGTCATAATTCATTGCAGTTGTCTGCAATGTTTCTGCTGATATTTAATGTTATCATGCTATCAAAAGAAGATGATTTCTACAGCTGGTATTAAGTGAACCAATGACTTAATTCTGAAGTCAGAATACTGACTTTGCTCATGAAAAAAATATTTGAAAGCTAAAATTTGAAACTTTCTTGCCTGAAGTATATTAAATGCTGCATATTCACCGTTCTTTAAAATGTATTTAATGGAAATATATGCTTTCATAGGCAAAACTGCAGAAGAAGAAATTAAGTCATCATTTCTAGAAACATTGGGAGAGACCTGCAGCAACCCCACTGAAGTGTCCTATTCTGAGTTTGAAGATTACTATGAAGGATTAAGTTTTGGAATCATGTGTGATGATGATTTTGTTAATATCTTAAGGAACTCTTGGGGTATTTAGAGTGGAAGATGACAAAAATGAAGAAGAAACATTTTCTAAACAAGGAGTGACTAAATAAGGGAGGATTTAGTCTTGATGTGCATTACTTTATAATTAGTGTGTTAAACTGATTTCAGGAACTGATAACTTTAGATACTTTCAGAATAATATATGGCAAATTTCTTGGAGTGTCTGTTCAGCTATGCTAGCCACTCTGCTAATACAAGTGCTGTTTGTTTCATTTCATTGAAAATAATAAAGGCTGTTTCTTATAACAAAAGCCATCTTTTTTATATTAGATTAAGGTGGCATATTTTAAAATAAGAGGGAATTAGAATACTAAAATGCATGAAGGTGTATATGCAAGAGAAAATTTCGTTTTATGATGCATTGTGAAAAGTTTTAGGTTTGACTGTATAAAGTATCAATGGTAGCTTTTTTTCAGAAAGTTTCTTATAACATTCTTTGTCTTATTTCTTGTTTCTTTTGGTGGCACTTAGCTTGAAAGAGGACAGGTCAACGTTTTGCAGTTTTGAGGGTGTTTGTAGTACTGAAGGTGCAGAGATGTTCACAGCAACTAGCCCCTTGGCCTATGGACCATCTTGACTGATCTTACTTTGTCATTTTGGTCAGGAATCCAAAGCTGGGCATTGAATCCCAAAGGTTTTATAAAGCATACATGAATTTTATAATGCATATCCTCCTTTCCTATGTTTTGCTAAGTTGTTTTTCTAAACAAATAATTTATATTTAAGTACCTGTTTTCTTTATATCCCTTTTTTTTTTAACTAAAACTTAGCAATTATGTATTTTGTTGAGTGGATATGCAGTATTTCATATCTACTCTGAAAGTGTAAAACAGAAAAGTATTTAAAAAAAAACCCAAAACAACCACCTCTGTCGCCACGAAAATTAAATCATAAAATATTCCTTGCTACTTCAAATATACAGACAGATGCTCTTTTCAATGTAATACATCTTGTTAATTCTGTAAAATTATTTGTGTTAAGGAATAAAAAAGTATTGTTAATTATACAGTGAGAGAGAGGTAACCTTTGGTTTCAATAGACCTGTCACTAAAATTAACTATATGTTGAACTGCATTTCTTAAGCCTATACAATTAAAATGTATTAGTTTCCATAGAGCTGGTCTGCCTGGTTTTGAATTTATAGTCTGTGGTTAACAGAACCTTCCTCTGAGACAGAATTTGTATTTCATAGGAATTAAAGGGCAGTGCTGGAATGGATGCTAAAATGAGGGACTTTGGCCTCTCTGTGGATGATGAGTATATTCTAGAAATAGTACTTCCTTGTTCTAATAGCTTGTGCATTTTTGTTTTTTGATTGTTCGTACCCTCAATTCTAACAAGAATTTCATTTTCTGCTCTGAATCTTCAAATGAGAGATTTTGGAGGGTTCTTTTGAGGCTACAAAAGTCTCTGTGTGTTGGTTTACAGGGGAAGGCAGATTTTGTCAATGGTTATTCTAAGCAGGAATTCTGATGTGGCTCATTACAATTTTCTTGTTCACAATTCCTGCCAGACTTTCTCTTGATGGAAAGATTTTGTTAATTAGTGTTTCTGGAACTGATGATTCTGAGAAGGGCAATTTCATCTGGTTGTACAGATATGCTTGTTAATGTGTCAGTTCAGATAACTGAAAAACACCAAATGATTTTTATTAATTGTTTTAAGAATCACTTGCTCTATTTAGACTTGCTCACTTAAAAGAATTGTACCAACAAATACAACTGTAGCTCAATTTAATGAATGAAAGTGGTGGTGAAGGGAGGTATTTTCTTTTTGCAATGCTTAATTTTATTGTGAAGCTTTTAGGAAGATTATTCCACATTTTCCTATGGAATGGAAAAATTCATGATGAGTGGATGTATCCTAAGTGGGCTTGCTTATCAGCCAAAGCTCTGTAGGTCACAACTGCTACACATTACTTGCTCTTTATTTTGTTCTTATAACAGAAAATGAGGTGCCGTTATAACAATATTATTGACATAGCCTTGGTAGTCCTGCATTATTTTTTTTAATCTGAAGATGGATCCCCTAACAGAGTAATCTAAGATAAATTCTAAAGGTCAAAAATTGCCTGGAAATATAAGCAGGTACTCTGTAATTATGTGAAACCTCCTAAGTATATAATTTCTTTTAACAGGATTGGTTACACAGGTCCTACTTGACCAACCTGATCTCCTTTTATGACCAAGAAACTGCCTGGTTTATGTGCTAAAGGCTGTGGATGCTGTCTACCTGGACTTTAGTAAAGCCTTAAATACTGCCTCCCACAGCGTTCTCGTGTGGAAGCTGGCAGCCTATGGCTTGGATGGGTGCACTCTTTGGTGGGTTGAAAACTGGCTGGATGACTGGGCCCAGAGAACGGTGATGCATGGAGTTACATCCAGCTGGTGGTCAGTCATGAGGGGTGTTCCCCAGGGCTTGGTATTGAGGTCTGTCCTGTTTAATATCTTTCGATTATCAATGATCTGAATGAAGGGATTGAATGCTCCCTAAGTAAACTTGCAGACTGTGCAGGAGTGTTGATCTGCTGGAGAGTAGGAAGGCTCTGCAGAGGGATCTAGGCAGGCTGGATCGATGGGCAGAGGCCAATATATGAGGTTCAGTAAGGCCAAGTGCTGAGTCCCGCACTTGGGTCACAACAACCCCATGCAGAGCTACAGGCTGGGGGCAGACTGGTTGGAAAGGACCTGGAGGTGCTGGTCAACAGGTAAGTGAACGTGAGCCAGCAGTGTGTCCAGGTGGCCAAGAAGGCCAATGGCATCCTGGCTTGTATCAGAAATAGTGTGGGCAGCAGGACTAGGGAAATGATTGTCCCTCTGTACTTGGCACTGGTGAGGCCATGCCTCAAATCCTGTGTTCAGTTTTGGGCCCCTCACTTCAAGGTGCTGGAGCGTGTCCAGAGGGCAGTGAAGCTGGTGAAGAGTCTGTAGAGTAAGTCATATGATTACTGGCTCAAGGAACTGTAGGTGCTTAGCCTGGAGAAAGGGAGGCTTGGAGGACACTTATCCCTCTCTACAACTCCCTGAAAGGAGGTTGTAGCAATGTGGGCGTTGGTCTGTTCTCCCAGGCAACCAGCGAAGTGGAAACAGCCTCAGGCTGTGCCATAGGAGGTTCAGGTTGGACATCAGGAAAAAAATTTCACTGAAAGGGTGATTAAGCATTGGGAGGGGCTGCCCAGGGAGATGGTGGAGTAACCATCCCTGGAAGTGTTTGACTGGACATGGCATTTAATGCTATAGTTTAGCTGGCATGGTGATGCTTGGTCAAAGGTTGGACTCAATGATCTTGAAGGTATTTTCCAACCTTAATCATTCTGTGATCAGCTGCCTCAAAACATGAGGTATGGTGACTATGGTGAATTTTTAATAGCTTTTACAGAAGTCACTTTTATTCGCCCACTGCTTTTCATTGTCTAAATTTCAGATGGCAGCAAACAATTCAAACCAGCTTCTACCTAAGGCTTGCCCACCATGCTTATAGTCAGTAAAATAACACATGAACTGTATTCAAGTAAGGGTCTGTGGTGTCTGACTTGTCATTAAAAGTGGTTTCAATGCCCTGATTAATTGCATTCTGACTTGCTCTTATTTACTTTTGAACATTTAATGAACCTGAATTCTGTTATTTCATCAATTCTTTGTAGCTTTAAAACTTTCTGGAGATGTCTGGTGGGGTTTACTGCCTTTGTTTTTCAAACAAAATTTTTTCTGCATTTGCTACCTTTCTCAGAATTGCCCACGTTTTCCAAAGTAGAATGTGTTCTTACTTAAAGTGGGGTTCTCAAAGCTGACTGGCTTCTTCCCCGAAACTCACTGCTTAATAGAACTAATTGTCTTCATGCCACCATGATTTACACTTCTGCTAAAAAGTTTTAGCAACTTGCTGCAGTTGAGAACATCAGAAGTGCATTATGCTGTGAACATATTTTGTCCTATTAGATGTGCAGGCTCCCAGAAGACAAGTAGAAATTAAATGAAGTGATATAACTCCTTATTCTCAATGTCTGTAAGTACTTCATAAAAGAATATGCACTGTCACTGTAAGATGGAATGTGTAAGAGCATTTTGAAAAAGCAGAACACAGGCACACAGAGCAAAACCTTCAGTAGCTTCACTCTGTCTGCTAATGGAAATACAGCATCTTCACCTGGGGTACCTTTGTTGCTGAGAGGAGGTGTTCTTACTGATTCACACTCAAAAACTCATTTGTCTTCCCTAAGAGTTGCTGCCAGGTCATTGAATTGTGTGGGTCTTTGTGACCAGAACAGCCAAAAGATTAAAAATATATCTACCACTGTGTGTTTGTAGGGAGGTGCTGTTTACTTTTGGATGTGGGTTGTTTTGGTGGGGTTTTTTTTGTGTGTTTTTTTTTTTTTTTAAATAATTGTGGGATGGTGTTTTGATTTTTTTTTTTAGAGATTTGTGGTTTGCTTTGGTTTTGAGCATGCTGCTCTAGATAGTAAAAAAGAAAGCCTAGAATTGATTTCTGACATGTTGAACAAAACAGGTAAATTTCTGTGGCAGAAAAAGGAAAGGTGGAAATCACATGCATTTTTTTTCCTGGATTTTACTCTAATTTATCCTTCTTCGTACTCAGCAATTTAGAGAATGAGATAGTTCAGTAGTTCATCTTCTTAACCATCTTGTCTTTTAGAAGCTGAATCAGAACTACTCTTGTAAGCATAAGACATTTCCAGTGATGAAAGAGACAAGTAGTATTTTCTTCCAGGTCTACTTAGGCTATTTTTTCCACAGGGAAAATTTTTAAATCTTAAGAAAACTCGAAGGTACTTAGGAAAGAAATGTGGTAAGACATTACCTGCATGATGACCTTATGAGATATTTTGTTTTGTGGCTCCTATACTTTTTTGGTACTCATTTTTGATTGTGAGGAACTCAAGGCTTAAAGATGATGAAGTACCTTTGAGGGAAAAAAAATTAAATCTATTTATCACAGATTTCTTAATGTTTATCAGAGCATCTGTTCTGTTTACCTGGAATTTATAGAATCGGACTACTTGTTTTCTGGCTTTTTTTTTTCCCCTCCTCACTCGTGTTACATTTTGGATGGAATTAATTGGAGTTGTGCACAGAAACTTCTGTGTTTGTTGCCACTGGCAGAATTTTGTGTGTCCAGCATCCCCAGAGAAGCAGCTTCAAGATAAGAAAAGTAATAGCCATTTCTTTGTGGTTTGTTTTTTTTTTTTGCAGGCTGGATTCTTATGAAAGATGTTTAATATTTTAATATCTTTTGCTGGTTGGTGTATTTTTTTTTTTAACTCTTCTGACCTTTTGCTGTTATTTCCTCTCCCAATTTTAGGAGAAACTATGAACCTGAGAGACTCTGAAAAAGGTAGGAAAAATGGTATTTTGAGGGTGAGCTGTCTAGATATTTAACAAACGAGGATTCTCCCTGTGGTAACTTGACACTGCTTTTGAACTGCCCTTGTGAGGAGTCTCAAAGGACCTTTTTGGTGGACTCCTTCCAAGTAGACAAAGACCTGAAGGGTTCTCCTCTTGGACAATGGAGGTCAGTAGGCATAAGCACTGGTGAGAAGGGCTAACCTCATGGTTGGCAGAGTCAAAGTTGCCTGCTTTGGTCCCAGCAGTGATGTCTGCTTGCCTTGCTGCTGGGTGCCTTGGTAACTGCTAAGATGGTGGACTCCTTTTGTAGCCCTTGCTGGGAAAGGATTTTGGGAAGAAGACTTCTTGCATACATTTAGCTACCTACCAGTGTCCCGAGGTAAAAGATAAGGACTGTCCTTCTCATGGAAAAGCTGCTCTTTATAACAGCTTTCCAAAACATCCATCATGTAGTAATGTCTAGCTGCAGGCAAGTGTAATGGAGAGGGCAGAGACTGGGCAGAGACAAACTAGAGAAAAGACATGAAGAAAAGACAGGCAGAAGACTTAAAATGGAGATGAAACAGCAGGGGATTGCAGAGACCTCCCTTATACCAGGGATTTGTGGGGCTTTGAATCATAGAGTGGTTAGGGTTGGATGAGACCTTAAAGATTATCTGGTTCCAACAGCCCTGCTGGTGTAGGGACACCTTCCACTAGATCAGGTTGCTCAAAACCCCATCCAACCTGACCTTGAACATTTCAACCTCTTCCCCATATTTCTGTTTTATGCCACATCTCACATTTGGTTGTAAATTGGGAGTGAAGCTTGGCAAGACCTGATTAAGTAAGGTTCAAAAAGGCTCTATTCCAAAGATAACTGCTGGTATTCTGGTGTCCTGTTTTTATCTATCTCATTTCTAGCATGGTTGTTGGCAGCTACAGAATGGGTAAGTATGGAAGGGACCACAGTGTGTCATCTGGTCCAGCCTCTCTCTTCAGTAAGGGTCATCCCAGAGCACATGGCACAGGATTGCATCCAGACAGTTCTTGAATATCTCCAATGAGGGAGACTCCACAACCTCTCTGGGCAATGTGTTCCAATAGAATCAGCTGCAGCCTACCCTAATGCTAGTGGTATCTTGAGGTTGAGGCTGAGGACCCCTGCAATGTGGGTGGCCCAGGTTAGAAATGTATGGAAGGAGCAATGCTCGTGCCATGCCATGCTCTCCTTGACATGCCTTTTGAAGTCCTGGTGTCCCTGGAGCTGTAGGCACTGTGTTTCTTTGAACCCTAACCCTAATGGCAGTTTGGGGTTCTGGCTGATGTCTCCAGCACCATGGCTGGCCCAGATTAGAAAGGTGTGCAGGGAGA